AAAAAAAAAAAAAAAAAAAAAAAAAAACAGAGGCAAGATAGCTAACTTCTGACCGTGGATGTTTTACACTGCTTGCAACGTTACGATAAATGATGGAGATGTGCTGATAACGGACAGTTCGGTGAGGGGTGGTAGCCCTAAATGGGTGCTTCCCAGACCCTGTGGAATTCTGAGTTGGCTACACACTACTTTTTTGGAGGGTGGGACGATACCCCCTATTGTTTGGTTGTCTGAAACGGTGTAACACTTAAACCACCAGTACCTCGCTCAGCTATTGAATCCGAGCCTCCCAGCACGCTGCGCGCCAAGTCCTGCCAAACCGCCGTCGCAATTTTTTTTTTCGTTTTGCCTGCGGCCTCCAGCCAATGCGGTCTGGCAGGCCGAAGCCCAAATGGCGCGGCGCGTATACGGGAAGCGCCGCGGCCGATAGCCGGGCCAGGTACTGGTGGTTTAAACGATCTGTTCAGCCAAGCCTATTTTTACGGAGCACCCCCCGGGCCTGCCCAGCCTGAAATTTTCTACTGGGTCGGACAGACTTTGGACGGGGCTGTAAAGGGACACACTGTAGAGTTGTGCGGCATTACAGGCTATCGTTCGATGACTGGACTCTGTGGATTCAACAATACCCCTGCACCTGCTGTTTGAATTTCCAGATCCCTTTCCGCCCCCTGACAGGTGTGTGGTTCTCTGTTCTTGGTTTGGGTATAACTGGAAAAGATGTTTTTTGTCTACAGTGGCAGTGGTAGTCAGTCTGCAGAAAGCAAGGTGGCGCGGTCTGATAGTTATATCAAGGTTATCAGGTGGCCATTTGATGGCTGAAGAGGCAATCCTCACTCAAATCTACATCCACTTCACGTGCTCACTATGTATCATCATCTATCGCCATCATTATTTAAGGGACACTGGACCCGGTTTCCAGCAGGTGCAGCTCCCTGCCAATAGACTCGAGCTATCAGCCGGACTGCAAGTGGTGAGTGCTCATATCACCACCACTAGCATTTCTGGCAGGTGTTATCCTAGGCTACCAGCCGGGCCGTCCGGGACACCCTATTTTCCCAGGAGGCCCGGCCGTGCAAGGACCAGGGAAGGTCTTCCCCAAAAAAAAAAACTCAAAAAAAAAATTTCCGAAAATAACTATGTAATGCAGAAAACTGAAGTGAACAACTTTCGCCTCAGGGTCACATCGGAATTCTTTACCAAATGAAACTTTAAATTGAAAAATATTTTTTATTTCTTATTCTTTTTTTTTTTTTTTTTTTTTTTT